TTTTCGAACTCCTACTGTGTTCCAGGCACTTTTCTTGGTGGAGTAATAGAGAGATATAAAAATAATAACTCATAAATGTATAGCTTGTTAGACAACATTAGAGTTTAATAATTTTCTTTAAAGACTTCATATCCCAGAAGGAACCACAAATAACTTGAGTTAATAACTGTATCTCCTTTCTCAGGAATCCTATTGTAATGAATGTGTTCAGATTGGCAGAGAACTGGCAATGGCATTCACTTAATGAAAGCCATATAGAGAAGCTATACTCTTCCACTGGGTCACTCAGCAAATATTACTTTTATAGTCCCTTGATACTTTCTGACCTCAAAAGTAAGAGATCGAAAGGAAGTCAAACCACATCCTTCCTGTCTTAGTAAGGAGAAACTTTGACTTCACCAGCTGGCTGAGAGGCTGCATGAACTCACATATTTTAAGATGAACTGGCTTGAGTACTTGAGTGGTGATTGTTTTTCTCACAGATTTTCAAAGGCAACTTTGATAATTAAAACAAGCAAAATGAAAAGTGTTGGCATTCTCTCTTGCCCATCTGTGACTTCATTGTGCTGGTACTTAGTGTTCAGAGGGGAAATGCATGTTTGAACTGGTTCTTGATTTTGCAATAAAAATTGAAGGAAAATATTCTTCAGCTTATGTCAGCTTGTTTTATATTTTTCTCTTAACAACACGGTTAAAAATTAAGATATTACATCATTTTAAATTCCATTGCCTTGTAATATTTCATTTTATGTATTTAGCACTTTGAAATATGAGCCTATATCATAATTTTATTGTAAAATTAAATTTACTATCTCAACTCATATGTTATTTTATTGTTTTTCATTTTTAATTGGATTCACAGATCTTTGTTTTTTATGAGAAATTATGAAATATGATCTGACTTGTATGTAGTTCCAATATTTTAGCATGAGTATTGTAGCAAGAAATAACACTAATTTTTACCTTCTATAAAGATTTTTATTACTATTGTTTTATATTCCAACTCTTTATAGTGATATTTTCAGCATGATCAGAAAGGAATATAATATTGATGACTATAATCAAAGATGGTAAACACTTTGGAATATGAATGATAACTAATATGTTAAAACACATAAAAGTGTATTTATTATGTTGAATGACATGAAATTGCTTTTTGGTGAGGAAAAAATGGTCAAATTTTGACAGTTTCATCTGGTTCAATTTATAATGTATTAGTTTGGTGATTCATACACTTTTAATCAAAATGAAATTGTGTGATGTTGTTATTGTTGTTATGCGCCATCGAGTCGGCCCCGACTCATAGTGACCCCTCCTTGGGTTTCCGAGGCAGTATCACTACAGAAGTAGGATTGCCCAACCTTCCTTCCGAGGAGAGGCTGGTGGAAATTGTGTGACAGTTAATCCTAAATAATTCAGTCTTATGTGGATAATCCAAAGCTAATACCAGTCCTTCTCTTGCTTGATTCACTGCCAGCTTTCAGGTTATTTAACTACTCATTGTTGTTATCATTGTTAGATTCCATTGAGTTAGGCTTCAACTCATGGTGACATTATGTATAATAGAACTAAATGTTGCCTGATCCTGAACCATCTTCATGATTGTTGTGACACATAGTGTTTCCATTGGCTAATATTTGTAAGTAGATCATCAGAATTTTCTTTTTAGTTTTTCTTCATCTGAAAGTTCCATTGAACCTGTACACAATACATGACACTGAAGGTGTTTGAAATACCAATGGCATAGTGTCCACACAAACCACCACAGTACAACCAGCTGTCAGATGGGTGGTGGGATACTCAATAAATCCATCTTAAAGCAGTTATGAATGGAAGAAGAAAATAATATCAACGAATCTAGTTACTAAGACAAAAGTTCATAATAAAAAATACAGAAGTTAGGATAAAGGAATGGTTAAAAGTATGTATTAAAGTAAGATTTAGGGATTACCTAGATTTATATACACATGCTACATTTTTTCTAACTGTGATATACAATAGATATTTGACTAGGCTACCAAATGAGTTGTTTCCAACAGATTAAATTAAGATGATATTAAATTTTTCAGGTTTTCTGAAAAGTGTTAGTTGAAGAGAAAATGTGGTTTGTTATGGAGTGACTCCTTACTCGAAGTTAACAGATTTAATTTCTTAATCATAATTCTATCACCTGGCAGGCTGTGTGACACATGAAAGCCCCCTAAACTTTCTGGAACCACTTTATTTGTTCAGTTTACCAAAAACATTTGGTGCACATGACAATTCACACATCCTTAGCAACAATTCTGTGACTTGCAAGCACCACTGCAGAGACGGGGAACCATTGGATTAGAAAAACTCTCAATCCTTCTTTGTCTCACATGCTAATTCCTATTAATCTAAGAGGTATTAGAAGTAATTGAGGAAAAGGAAACAAACTACTGGAAATTTGAAAACATGAAAGGGAAGATATTAACCACTCAAGCTGATCATTATGTATGAGTTCTTTCCATTTGACTGGTGGCCAGAAACCAGAGGAGAGTGGAATTGATGAGCCAGTATGTCATGCTGGTTCTGATTGCAGCCTGAAAGGAAAATAATCCAGATAACTGTTTAATTGGATGCTACTTAAAATAAGAAGCTGGAACTCCCCAAGAATCATGGTCCAGTGTAAACATCTTTTCAACCATATTGGTTAAATAAAAACCAAAGTATTTTGCCTCAGTAGCCAACATCCCTGAGGTTCCATTTTCACTGTCATGAAACTATTGCTTTTAACTGTTCTTTGTCAGTTTTACTTTTCAGTGTAACTACTTTGGGGTGATAGTTTTTCAATATTATACATGTGATGAAAAATGAACATAAATAAGCTATTAGCTATAAACATAGTAACCAAGAAAGAAAAACATAGTGATAGGAGGGTTATAATTAAGTGTTTTCTATGAAACACAGTGTTTACAGTGCTTCTGAACACAGGCTGGAATGAATTGGCTTGCATTTAAATCATCTTATATAGTTTATGTCATATATTTTTATATCACATAGAATCTGTGACATGAGTTGGTTATTTACCCTCTCTGTGCCTCAGTTTCTACACTGTAAATCAGGGGTGGTGATAATAGGGTTGTGGTAAGGATTATACAAGTGTGTTTGTGGAAAGCGCTTACCCAAGTGGCTGGCACCTTATAAGTGCCATATAGCTGTAATAGTAATTTGCTACTATTAGTGTTTCTTTCATAACAGTTTTATGTATAAGTAACTTTTTGTTCAACCCAACCTACTGGCTCTTTTAAACTGATAGTTTTGACTGAATTTTCATAGCATGATGAAATCTAAGTTTTTCAAGAAATGGATAATAAAAATAAACCAAATTTAATATATTGACTTCTCCAACTATATATAGGTAAGACACTTAGCATAATTTTGGAGATGATTTTACCAATTAATGTATTTTAGTCCTCTTTTTCCTTTTCTTCCCTCCATTCTCTTGAGACTTTATTTTTTAGAGCTGCTTCTCTGAGCTGTATGCATTCATATTTAATGATAGCCATTTTTATTCTTTTTGTGGTATTAAATATTAAATATCAGACAGAGTACCTCCTTTAATTTCCCTTTGGAGTAATAAAGTGTTACCAGTAACTTTTTCTTGAGATCTGTAACAATATTCTTTGTCAAAACAGAAGTACGTAGTAAAGCCAGGAAAACACCTACAAGGAGCTCTTAGAAAGGGAATTATAGGTTGAATAAAAGAAATGTATCAAAAAAAGCAAACATCTAAGAGGTGAATCAGTGCAGATTTGCTCTCAGAAAATCTACACACAATAGACTTTCTTGATAAATTCTAATTACCAAGGTATGTGCCAAATTATAACAAAAAGTTTTAATGATTAATTTAATGACTTTATTCACAATGAGAATATTAACATGAATAAGAATAACTCTTTTATAAATCTTGTAATAAATGAGGCACCTAAAATGTGCCTTTGAATGAGTGTCTGATTTCATAGTATTAGTTTGCATAGTTAGACCAGTGAAGTAACAACTAATTTCTGGGTAGTCATCTATTGTTACAAAGGGAAGACCAGGTATCTCTTGGTGAAAGTGCTGGGGTGATAGAAAAAAATAGCAACTTATAGATTAGGCTCTGACCAATAGAAAGAATGCTACCGTCGAGCAGAAGTAAAGTGCTTGGTGCCTGGTACCACTGCTGTCCCAGAGGTTAACACTGTACAGTGAGTTTGGGTTGTTTTTTTTTTTTTGTTGTTGTTGTTTTTGAGGGGGGTTTCTGGATAATAGGGAGGTGGGGGATTCTGTTGAAGAAGTTAGGAGGTAAGGAAGCAGAAACTTGAGAGAATTGGAACCCCAGTTATTCATCAGCCTACATGGTCATACCAGTGCATCCAGCTGTGCGTCTACCTGAGCAAGTGTATATATTCATGGCTTCTATAAGGAAGACCAGTTCATATGACTATTAATTCAGAAACCCAATGAAGAAATTGAAGATTGTTTATAAACTTTGTAGTCTGAAAATGATCAAACACGTAATCGAGATGTATTGATAATTACAGATAATTGATAATTGGAAGCAGAAGTTGGGAACAAAGAAGGATTAATAACTGGAATATATGACCTTGGTTATAAAAACAACTCCAGAGATTGCATGATGGAATTTTGTAACACCAAAGACTTTTTCGTTGCAAATAACTTTTTCAACAACATACCAGTATTCCCTTTGAGATACATATTACACTAACCAAGGTCATTTGTATTTTTGTTGTTAATTATTTGTCTCATAATCATTTTCTTAATGTTCTTCAGGGAAAATCTTGGAAGAGATGCTATCATACTATTTTCTAATTGCTTTTGAAAGAAGCTCTTAATGTACTTCTTTTCTCTTCTATTTGGTGAATATACCTTGGGATAGATACTTGGCAAGAGGTAGACATTTAATATATCACAGAAAATACACAGTCTCCACTACCTATAGATTTCTAATGTTCTTAATGTCTTGTTTCTTGCAGGACGGTTCTTTTTACTCTGACTTCTGTAGTTGTACTTGTCATCACAACTGACTGGATCAGCTGGGACAAGTTGAATCGGGGATTTTTGCCCAGCGATGAAGTTTCCAGAGCATTCCTGGCTTCTTTCATCTTAGTCTTTGACCTTCTCATTGTGATGCAGGTAAGTGTCCTTGTATTCCTCTCTGTTTTGTAAAGTCACTCTATACGTTATCGTAAGTATAAAAAACACTTTACAGAGACAGGTTCCAGAAAGCTAGAGGAATGCATAGTTTACAGTTGCTATTGATGAGGTCTTCTCTGATCATATTTTCAGCAATTGAACTGGAGGGAGGTCAATTGGTCTATTACCATCAACCAAAAAAAAGCCAAACTCACTGCTATCAAGTTGGTTCCTACTCATAGTAGTTACTCCTTGGGTTTCCAAGGTGGAATCTCTATGGAAGTAGATTGCTCAATCTTCCTTCCAAGGGGTGGCTGGTGGGTTTGAACCACCAGCCTTCTGGTTAGCAGTCAAATGCCTTTGGCACTACGCCACCAGAACTCTCATCATAAGGGCATCAAGAATTCATTTTACGAACATTGCAAGGTTGGTCGTTAGAAACCGTACAATATGCTGATGTTTTCTGCCAAGGCTTCAGGGTAAAAAACAAACAAACAAACAATAACAACAACAACAAAAAAAAACAGTAACAGAAAAACCCCCTGCCATTTAGTAACTGGAAAGCTGCAGAGATGAGGATGCTAGAAAGCCAGCAAAGCAGGTAAAAGCAATTGCCCAAGCAACTCAGGGTTTTATAATAGTTGAAATGGAATGATGTAAAAAGGCTTTTTCTGGTTACGGAAATTATCACTTTCTTTCAGTATTCACCAGAGAGTATTCCATTTTCATGTAAACAGTATTTCTGTCCTGCTTAGGAACAGATTATTTGTACAATAGCTTAGCCCTAACCAGTGTTACTCCTGGTAATCTCCTGGTGTGAATACTTTGGGATCTTAAGAGTGTTCTTTTCAGTGGATCAGAGTGAGACATTAGCTATTTCTTGGCACTTTATCTTGTCCATTAAATGTCCATCCATTTGCTAGGCATTTTCTTATTGTTTTCATGAGGCAATTTTGTTTTTTCATCTCCAGAGAGATTTTCAGTCACTAAGGCTGCCATTGCTAAAGGGAAAGGAGACTCATTGTACTCTGAATTTATGGGAGATTTCATCGTATAGCAGATTGTTTTTCTGATTTCTGGAAGCAAAGATGGGCCTTCATAAAAGATATTCTGTAGTGTCTTAGAAGAAAATAATAATCTTTTTTTTTTTTTTTGTATAATATACTCTGAATATTAGGTTCAAGATATTTCCCTTGAGCATATTACCCCTCTAATGGATGTTAATTTAAAATATATTGTAGTTTTTAAAAAGATACTTAAATATATACAGTTGAATTTTATTGTTGTATCATCTAAAAATTGATACATTTTCTTTTGTTCTTTTATTTCCAATGGAGTGGTTTGGCCTAGTGGAGAAAACACTGAGCATGGAATCAAAGCTTCCAGATCTGCCTCTCACTAGCTATAGCACCTTCTGTAGATACTTACAAAATTTCATTTATAGTACCTCTGCAATAATTTATCATGCATTATCTCATGCAAGGGTCATTTTTATCTTCTTCCATCTAATACTGCTAACTAATATACTTTTTAGTGTAAAACATAGCTTTGGCAAGTGGCCTACTGGTTTCTCTCTGAGTCTACCTTAGAAATGAAGGCATAACTAGCCTAGTAGACCATTGGCTCTCGGAATTTCCTTAAATTTATATAGGTAAGAACATAAATTTTCTCATTGCCCACTTCTATCTGCTGTATTCTACCCTTTTTATATACATCTTCATTATTCTTCCAATAAGTTCCAAAAATAATTGGAACTTAAAAGGGAAAAAATGCAATAACATTGCAATTTGTGGACTTCCTCAACAAGTATTTAACAAATAAAGACAGATGGAGGAAAGGAAGGATAGCCATGATTTATGCAGACAGGGTCAGTGGCATTGGAAAGGGAAAGACATTCCGGATGAAGGAAATGACATAAAAATGTTAATGCCTGTAAAGGCCAGAGTTAGAGTGTAGCCAGAGGACCCTTTGACTGAAGAAGGAGAGCTTGTACTGAGGAATATATCAGTTTGGATCATTTTGGCTACAAGTAACAATAACCCTGCCAAGCCAGCTTCATCAAAAGAAGGGATGTGTTGTTGTTGTTATGTGCTGTCTAGTCGGACCCAACTCATAGCAACCCCTCCTCGGGTTTCCGAGTCACTACGGAAGTAGATTGCCCAATCTTCCTCCCAAGGAGTGGCTGGAGGGTTTGAACTGCCAGCCTTCTGGTTAGTAGTCAAATGCCTTATGCACTATGCTACCAGAGCTGCTGGGATGTACAGAAGCAGGGACTAAAGTATAACAGAGAACCTAGACAGGCTTTTCTCTCCTTCTCCCACTTTTACTTTTCAGTTCTACTTTCTTTGTCTCTCATTTCTGCCTTCTTTTTCTCTCTCACTGCAAAGCTGCTTTTTTAGCTTCCCAGCTTACATGGAAGGAAGTGAGCACTGCCAACACGTTAGAGGGGAACCAACCTCTGGCTGTCAGGCTGAATTCCAGATCCCTGGGAAGGAACTGATAGGCACATGGACTGTCCCATGCCTGTGTCTGAACTGACTGGCTCTAGTGGAAACATGGGAGGCTGCGGGGATGGGACAGTCCTAAAAGAATAGGAAGAGGTTGAGCCTTAAAAGCAACCGTGTAGGTGTCGAATACAAAGAATAAGCTCTGTTGGCATAATGGTTAAAGCATTCAGGTGCTAACCAGAAAGGTTAGTGATTCAAATCCACTAGCCACTCCGTGGGAGAGAGATGAGGCCATCTGCTTCCATAAAGATGTACAGCTTTGGAAACCCCATGGGGTAGTTCTACTCTGAATTGCAGGGTCACTTTGAGGCGGAATCAACTCAATGGCAGTGGTTTGGTTTGGTTTTGGAATACAAAGAGGAAAAAGGAGTCCTGGTGGTGTGGTGGTTAAGTGCTCAGCTGCTAACCAATAGGTCAGCAGTTCGAATCCACCACTAGCTCTGCAGGAGAAATATGTGGCAGTTTGCTCTGTAAAGACTACAGCCTTGGAAATCTTATGAGCCAGTTCTACTCTGTCCTATAAGTTGCTATGAGTTGGAGTTGATAGCAATGGATTAATTCAAAGAGGAGTGGAAAATGAGACCAAAAAGTTTAGCTCCCTTAACCGTTTCATTTATCTCCTTCCCAACACTCAGCATGCCACCCAAGTTGGCTGATTTGTCTTTTCCTATGTCTTTTGTATTCTAATCCTTCCTTCTCATTCTCTCTGTCAGCCTTTCAGCCCTGACTCCCCTCTGTACTACTGTGCAATAATCTCCTATGGAACTTTCTGCCTCCAGACATCCCCTTGTACCATATACCCTGTGTATTTCACCCTACAACCTCACCCTTCCAATCTTTAGTGCCAGATTGGACATGTCACATCTCAAGAGTAAATATTGTCAGTGACTCTCATTGCCAAATAATTCTGAGAGTCTGGGAGCTTTCTGTTTCAGTGCCCTTCACAATCTGGCTGCTTTTTCTTCCATGAGTTTCCTTTGTACTAGTTCTATCCCAGACTAAAGGACTTGTAGCTTTGTCCGTATCCATAACATATTTATGTCCTGGATGTTTGTGAGCCTCTTTTTCCTCCGCAGAGTGCATCTCTCTCTCCTGCTCTAGTGATTTAGATTCTACCAGTTAAGACCATTACAATTCCCTTTTCATTAAAGCCGCATGATTACTTCCTTTTTACGATGCATATAGCATCTTTCATCTGAACTGCAAATAGACATTTTACTTGTTCCTGCTCTATATAGCAGAAGTCCCTGGGTGGTGAAAATGGATAACATGCTCAGCTGATAACTGTAAGGTTGGAGGTTTAATTCCACCCAGAGGCATCTTGAAAGAAAGGCCTGACAATCTACTACCAAAAAAACCAGTCATTGAAAACCCTGTGGAGCAGCATGGTTCTACTCTGACACACAGGGGGTGTCCATGAGTCAGAATTGGCTCTGGCAACTGGTACTACACAACAGAGCGGGAACCATAGCTTATAATTCTTAGTATCCCTGGTATCTCACTAGCATAGTGCCCTATAGAGGCAAGAGTAGGCCCACAGTAATAATGTGATGAGGATAAAAAGTTGCACGTTGTACCAAATCTTACAGGCAAACTCCTTTTGGGAGCATCATGTTAAAGTTCTTGAAACTAGTGCATATAACAAGAGAGTCAATATAAGGAAATGGAGCTCTGGCAGACATATGTATTTGAGACATTTGAAAATCTGTATTTCAGATATTCTAACAATCTATGCCCAAATAAGCTATGATCTAATTCAGGCCATATTCAAATATTTCAGGGGAATTAAAATGAGAAAAGTAGCAAAATAAATGGATATAGGGCAAGTAGTTTCTTTAAAAGATTTGTCCTTGTTTGAATCATTTAAGTGATTTAACAGCAATTGACACTCGGCTTTTCTAATGGTAGGAGAATCCCGCTAATACTATGGAAAGGATTTTAATTCTTGGTTCAAAAAATAAAAGAAATCATTAAAATTTGGTCCTGTATCTGTCAAAGATTCACTTAGACAAAATCAGTGGGCCAATTCTGATTTTAAAAATTATAATTCATGATTATTCACTAAATGGGGTTTTTCTGCATTTATTGTTAAGATGACTTTCACATCACATTTTTGTGTTCTTCATACAGTCACTAGAACTAAGGCATAAATAGATGCCAATAAGCTATAACATGACTTACATAAATCACACATTGCTATGGGATATGAGAAATAAATTATAAAGAAAATTTCCTTCTGAGGAAAATCTTATCTCATATCCCATTTAATATTTATTATTTCATTTGATTTTTATATATTTCTTTAATTCATTTCATAAATACTTGATTTGTAGTTATGTCCCATCCACCTACCTCCTCTGCTAAATTGAGGAAAACATACATCTAAGACACATACAAAAAAAAAAACAAACCCAAACTCAATGCCATTGAGTTGATTCCGACTCATAGCAACCCCTATTGGGTTTCAAAGGCTGTAAATCTTTACTGAAGCAG